AGGGCTAAAGGGGAGTGTGGCCTTCCTCACATTACCTTACACTTGAAATAAAATCCAAAACTCTGCCACAATGTCCTCCAGATGACAGGCACATTCCTGCCACAGGGCCTTTGCTCTTCTCCCCAAGCTTAGTTTCACGTGGTCTGACCCTCTATGTCACTTCATTCTGGATGTTGATCAGATGTCCCCCCATCAGAGGGGTCTTCCCTGAACATCTTATCTGGCCCACCACATACACACATAAATCTATCACACTATGTCCTAACCTTGCTTTATTTTATCGCACTTTTTCCCTAACATTTACCTGTGTTGTCTGTTCCCTCTACTAGAACGTAGACTCCATGAAGGCAGGGATTTGGGGTTTTTTTTTTCCACTGCTGTATCCCCAGCGTGAGAACAATACCTGGCATATAGTAAGAATTCCCAAAAGTATTCCCGGAATGAACAAGCCACCCCTCCACGAGGCCAGTGTGGTAACAGTATTCTTGCAGGGAGGGATCTGGAGTCAGAGTTCCACGCAAAGAGCCACTCTAATGACCCACAGAGGCTTATCTGGGGCAGGGGCAGGACGACAGTCCTAAATAGAGCAACAGAAGATGACCTATGACCCAGGGAGGCACGCCCTTGGGCTCCACCAGATTTGCCAAATTGGTGGCTTTTCACTGTTGTTGCTTTGTTAAGGAACACAGGGCCTACCGGGCAGCACAGGGGAGAGGAACTACCTCATGGAGGGAAAGAGATTGATCAAAAATACAACAGAGAAGAGACCACTGTGGGATACAATTCCAGCATCTTCTAGTCTCCACCTTGCCGTAAGCTGGGAGGGGGGTGGATTATCACTTCCAGTATTCTCTCCTTTTCCCCATGGCAAAGCCTGCTGTTCCCTAAGTGTCCAACAGCACCTATACTGTTGTACTTAGTTTCTGGTTATTGGCCACCTTCCAGAGAGGTGATAAATGAAAGGTCACTTACGTGTCACTGTTCAAATGTGCTAAAGGAATATCGAACTGTTAGACATCAAGGGTAATGTCTCATTATGAGTCATCAAGGAATGCAAAAGCTGAACAGAAACCACCCCACCTCACAGGCAGGACTCCTGGGAATAGAACAGAGGTCTACCCGTAGAATAGGACAAAATTGCACAGCCATCCCACGAGAGGGAAATAAATGTAGAAGCTTTTTTGTTTACATTTCATAGAATTGTTTCTGACTAAAGATAGTTGGCACTTCTGATATCATTAGCAAATTTCGATTTGTGTTTTTAAAAATAACTTTCATAAACAGCAGCAGAGCACAGACTAAATTCAGCCTTTTTTTTTTTTTAAAGATTTTTATTTATTTGAGAGAGAGAGCACATGAGAGGGGGGAGGGTCAGAGGGAGAAGCAGACCCCCCGCCGAGTAGGGGGCCCGATGCGGGACTCGATCCAGGGACTCGAGGATCATGACCTGAGCCGGAGGCAGTCGCTTAACCAACTGAGCCACCCAGGCGCCCCAATTCAGCCTTTTCTTCAGGTGTTGCATCAAGAGGTGTCATTCCTTTCTAAATGAGTGTTTTATAAAGTGGGAATGCATTTCAGAGCCTTTTCTTTTTTAAAAGAAGCAATTTCTGTTAACGAAGCAATGATTTGGTTTGGCATTTTAAGAATTAAGTTTCTGGGGGTGTCAGTTGGTGGAGCGTCTGACTCCCGATCTCAGGGTTGTGAGTTTGAGCCCCATGTTGGGTGTAGAGATGACTTAAAAATAAAATAAATTTAAACAAAGAATTTAGTTTCTGTGCAACCAAACAGGTGACGCTACTCTTTGTGTCATTTCAAGAGTTATTGTATTTGGTAGTTCCAGGAGCAGCAGGGGAATAATCCAATATTATTAATGGATATTGGTAGTGAGGTTCAAATGCTATTGTGTGTGTGTGTAAATCTTTTACATAGAGAAGATGAATGTAAAATTGCAAGCTGAGTAGTTTTTCCATATGAACATTTCCCTACCCTCAAGAGTAGAAGAACAGTAACTGCACAGAACAAAAAATAAATTAACATAGATGCCAGCCAAGCTGAAACTGGTATGTAAGTGTTCAAGGAGAAAAAAAAAAAAGGAGAGCATTATGGCAGTTGTTTTTTTCTTCCAAAGATGACCACAGCATTATTTCCCATTCTACATGCTTAGTTACATTCAGTGTATGTGGTCTAAACACACCAGTTAAAAACAGAGATTGTCAGATTGCAAAAAGAAGCAAGAACCAAATATATGCTGTCTTATAAGAAATACACTTCAAATATGACATAGGTTAAAAGCAAAAGGATGGAAAAAAGATATGCCATGCTAACATTAATCAAAAGAAAGCTAGAGTGTCTGTATTAATATCAGACAAGCGGTTTTCAGAGCACAGAATTTTAGCAGGGATGTAAAGGGTTGCTTCATAAGGATAAAAGGACATAAAAATCCTAAATAGTTAGGTGCTTAATAAGGGAGCTTCAAATTTCATAAAACAAAGACTGATAAAAAAAGAAAGTAGATACACCCACGGTTTTAGTCAAAGATTATAAAACCCTTCTCCCAATAACTGATACAACAAGTAAACATAAATCAGTAAGGATATAAATAAAGGACTTGAACATTATCAACCACCTTGACCGAGTGACATTTATAGAACACTCCACCCAGCAACAGCAGTATACACAATCTTTTGAAATGCACATGAACATTTTCCAAGTTAGATCATATTCTGAGTCATAAATCAAAACTTGCTAAATTTCCAACAATTCAAACAATGCAAAGTATATGTCAGACCACAAGGGAATTAAATTAAAAGCCAATAGCAGAAAGATACCTGGAAAAACCCCCAGATATGTAAAAACTAAAAAAACACACTTCTAAATAACTGATGGGTCAAAGAAGAAATAAGGGAAACCAAAAGTATTTTGAACTGAATAAAAATGAAAGCATGGACGTCCACATATACGAAGCTTGGAAGTTGCAATTCCCTCCTAACAATAAGTACAAAGCTGACAGATTGAATGATCAGCCACTCTTCTTGGACCCATACGAGACGGGAGTACGCAGGGCCGACTGCTGTCCCCAAGATTGGAGACACAGACGGCAAACGAGGAATCATGACTTCTGAAGGCTGAGACTCACCAGTGGAACCACTGCTGGAGTAGAAACACCTGGAGTGTAACTGATGAACTGCTGGAGACTTGGGTGGACGACTCCGAAGGTTAAAAACTCCAAGGGGCCCAGTCATAGGGGGACTCCCACCGTACTGTGAGATTTACCTCCAAGAGCTCAATCAGGTTCCCACAGTAAATACCAGAGAAAAATCCTCTTGAGCTTCCAGGAGGTAGGGGAAGAGGGACCATTCTGAAATACAGCAGAGCACTCTGCTCTTCTTAACAAGGCCTGTCCTCAGGAGAAACTATTTCACCACAGCCTACCCTGCTGGGCTTTTATCAGAGCCTAGCAGATCTGGGGGCAGAGAAGTAGCCCATTGCAGCCCCCTCTAGCCATCCTGTCCTACTTGGGGGGAGGAGAAGAAGACTGAGAAATACTTGTGAAGCTCACAGCCCAGAAGCATAGGCTCACCCAGGTCTGAGACCTCTTCACAGGACTACGGAACACGCCCCGTCCGCCCACACCAAAGGCCTGTCCACAGCCACGCCTCTCACCTTCGCCGAGTACACCGCGTGTGGCTAGGCAGAAGAGGTTACAGAGCAGGCCAGAAGGCAGACACCACAATCTGAAGAGGTACAGCAGACATGGTAGGGATGCTGGAATGATCAGGCTGGGAATTTAACACAACTATAATTAATTAGCTAAGGGCTTTGATAGATAAAGTAGATGGCATACAGGGACGATGGGCACTGTAAACAGAGAGATGGAATTCCTTATAAAGAACCAAAAAGATGGGACACTTGGGTGGCTCAGTCGGTTAAGCGTCTGCCTGCCAGGGTCCTGGGATCGAGTCCCGCATCGGGCTCCCTGCTCCGCGGGGAGCCTGCTTCTCCCTCTCCCTTTGCCTGCCGCCGCTCTGCCTGGGTGTGCTCTCTCTGTCAAATAAATAAATACAATCTTAAAAAAAAAACAACAAAGTTTGCAATCCCGCCACCTCTGTGCTCACAGCACATGGTGCACGGTGACACAATTCTGCTAACAGCCCGCAGTTTGGATTCTACAGGCTGGGGGACACTGTCCCAACAGGACTGCCCTTGCTTCAGACAGCAGCCACACTTCGGGGGTCCCCAGGCCACCGACACTTCTGACTGGCAAATCCAGAAGGTAATGCTAACCTTGAAAATGAAAGTTGTATTTCCAGCAAAAATAAATTTATTCAGGAATAGCAGAGAATTGCAACTCGGGACATGCAAGTCACGGCAAAACTACACACAAGTCCTGAGAACAAAAGGGAGGAACATTCTTTGACGGAGGAAAGAGGGCGGGCGGTTTCTGGAAGGTTCTAAACAGAAGTCCGTTGGCATAAACTGGGAGTTGCAAGAGTAATGGCTTTTCACCAGCTGAGTTGTAAAGGTCTCTCATTGGCTGGGCTGTTGCCGGGGCAGGAGAAAATCTCTCTCCCTCCTGCTGGGGTAGTAAAGTGTAGGCTTCTTCCTCCTGCGAATGCAAGGTATTCTCTTCCCCCTGGGTCTGCAGAGGGCTGCAAGGAGTGGTACAGCATGAGAGCTCCCCCTTCCAGCCTCCTGACTCCATTTTTTTTTAAAAAAAAAGCCTTATTTATGAGAGAAAGACAGAAGGAGCACAAACAGGGGAAGGGGCAGAGGGAGAGGGACAAGCAGACTCCGTGCTGAGCGTGGGGCCCGAGGTGGGGCTCAATCCCACAACCCTGATATCGTGACCTGAGCTGAAACCAAGTGTTGGACGCTTAACCAACTGAGCCACCCAGGTGCCTCCCAACTGCATTTCAAATGAGACTTCCTTTATTCAGCTGTGCAGCTCCCGCGTGTCTTAGTCTGAGATGCTGTGACAAAAGTACCAGAAACTGGGTGGCTTCAATCACAAACATTTATTTCTCACAGTTCTGAAGGCTGGAAAATCCAGCCAAGATCCAGGGCTGGTTGATTCAAAGCCTGGTGAGGAACAGCTTCCTGGTTCAGACAGCTGTCTTCCTGCTATGTCCCCACATGGCAGAAGGGGTGAGGGAGCTCTACGGGGGTCTCTTTATAGGGGCACTGATCTCATTCATGAGGGCTCTGCTTTTATGACCTAATCCCCCCACCCCTACCACCGCATTGGGGGTTAGGTTTCAACACATGATTGTTGAAGCAAGAGAAACATCCAGTCTATGACACAGCACCTCCCTCGGGCTCAAGAATTCACGAAAACAAAACAAAACAAAAACGAAATTCATGAGAACTCCCAGAACTGAGAAAGTGCTATACTTTTCAGTGTGTGTAGACAATGCATACGATGTCTGGGCTGCAAGAAAAAGTGCCAGATACTGCTTTGTTACATTCACAGGTTCTAAGGCAGGTCAACCAGCCTTGGCCCTAGTAGTTCTCATGGTTTTCAAAAGATCGGTGCCTACGGCCCTAATTGTCTCCTGAAGAGTCGACTCCTTAAAAAAATCAGCTCATGAAATAATAGCTCAAATACTCTGAATTAACTAAAGTCAATAGTGGGGGGAGGCGGGATAAAGAAATGATGTCCCAATATTAGTTCCAGGTCACAGATCCATTTCAGAGTAATGAAGCCAGAGGCACCAACCGGTCTTGAATAATACAAACACCCGACCCTGACCTGCTCATGCCAGAGTGACTGCGTCGGTCCCTGACGCCTGCGTCTGGGGTCGTAGTTTTATGTTTGTGTTTCTGGGGATTTCTGACTCTTCCCCAGGGCGCCGGGGTGCATCTAGGTGGCATCTCCTCCATGACGGGATGGCAAGAGTAGTGAGCAGAGGAATCCAATACCTCCTCATCTGACTGACTTTGCAAAACGAGAAGTCAGATGAATGCAAAGTTGCCCCAACCTTGAGGACTGTGCCCTGGGCAGTGGCGAGGGAACTTACGTCTCACCGCTGCACACAGGATGGCTCAGTACAGCCAAGGGTTTCCATCTCCAGAGCCCCTTGCACAGAGTTCAGCGCGGGCTACCCACTTGCCTCTCTCACACACAGAGGGAAGTATCTGCCCCGTCCCGAGGCTGGGACAACGCGCGGGGGAGGCGCGCTCTGTTGCTCTGAGGTCCACAGAAGAGAGCCACAGCAGGACCCACGGACTCCCCGCCAGCATTCTCCTCCTCTCAGCCCAGCTGTCTCCCAAGCCAAATTGGCTTCAGGCAAGGCTTTTGTTTCAGAGGATCAATGAAGATGCTTTTGACCTGGGCCAACAGCAGAGAAGAATCACCAAAGAACTCTTCTTCCCAGAATCAAAGGAAGAAAACTTCTAAAAAAACTACATCTCGGCTACTGCAGGGATCTCTTCCCTACAAAGATGATCTCCCTCCCAAGGAAGTGGAAGTCCTTGCCAGGAGAGGACACAGATCAACACACCCATCAGGAATTTCCAGTGCTCAGGGCTCGATGGGAGTGCCCTGGAATTCCAGCTCGAGGCCAGAGATGTGTTACATTCTCAAATACTCATAGAAGAGGTCTGGGGTCCCCACGTCCCCAATGGTGACCTCCTTTTTATACCACAAAGAGCCTGATCTGAGCTCCCCCTCTTAGGAAAGTCCAGAGCAGGATTTATCTCACCAACAGGAGGTTAAATTCCTCCCACTTTTGGATTGGGAATTTATATCCTGACAACATCAGGATATAAGGAGCTTGGGAAATTCTGGCAATCCATTCCTTCCTTCCCCTTCGTGGACTGGGATCATTTTCACTGCACAGAAGCACTGCAGGAAAGTTAGCCCCTTGTGCTTGGGCCCTGTAGTGCGTTCTCTCCCTGGCCCTTAAAGTCTCTGGCTCCCCTAGCCTGGTCAACCCCCCATCTGGAATTAGCTCAAAGGAGGCAAAGAGAAGGGGCTAGAGCCAGCGGCAGGCATCTGACTCCCGTGAGGGCCAGCCCCGGGGGGTGCAGCCTGTGGCCAGGGATAAACAGGAATGCTGATGTTTCCTAGGACCTGCCAGAAGATGCTTTGGGCCACAGGTAGTCACCCCAGCAGGTGAGCTAGCGTGGTCCGGGAGGCAGCCCCGCATGACCTGTTTGTGCGATTACAGGCTACGGATAGCAAGCCTAGCTGTCCACTCGACTGTGCTGGCCACCGTGGGATCTCCACCAGCCAGTCCAGGATCTCACAGTCCTGGGGAGGAGAGGCTACCACAGAGCCCAGTTATCAGTAAGAAGGCAAGACGACACTCTACTAAGAGCAAAACCACCACGTTCTGTCAACCCAGAGCAGGGTCGCTCTTGCCCAGGGGAGTTCCTTGTCCCAAAGCCTAAGCTATGGGAAGAAGGCCTCCCCAAGGCTCTGTGGGTACAGCCAAAGAATGTCAGCCAAGAGTGGGAAATGGGAGGGGTTTCCATCTGTGGGACCTGGGTCACCTTGACCTTGAATCACAAATTCCACAAAGGCTGATTCAGATCATGGTTCGAAACCTTAGCCTGAAAAGTTTCCTGTTGCATTAAACATCTGAAAGCCATCGACGGGGTGTGAGGTACGAGGAGAGGAAGGGGGGCAGGCCTATTTGCCAGTGGAGGGAGAGAACACACTTCTTCCAGAAACTCTGATCTGGGTGGAGACCCGACATGTGTAGTTTCTCTTAAGGACAGAAAATAACCAGGGTCTGAGCATACACCCGAATGCCCGCAGGTGGGCAGGGGGAGGGGCGGGGGGGTGAATAATTGAAATTCAATTACTTTGGAATTTTTAAACAATCTATTGCATTGAATAGCCCTATAGGGAGGAATCAAAATGCTAAGAACCGAAGGCTGATCCAGAGAGCAAAGGGGCTCACACCACATCGCCTGAGGAGCGCACGGTGGCTACAGACTCCCTCCAAGAGGAAAGGGCACTAACGATTTTACCCCCCAAAGCCCCGCCCCACTGCCAGCAGCCAGAGACCTACCAGAACAAGGGGGAGGAGGTCACCCTGCCCTAATGGGCACCAGGAGGTGGCAATGCTTCCTGGCCCAGCACACGATCACCCCCACCCCTTCCCCTGGCCAGATCTCTCCTCTTACCCCATCCCCCGGCCCCCGCCTCCCACCAGGTCCCCTCCCACAGTCTCAACCCCTGGTCCCTCAGAGGTCCCGCTGCAGCTCTGCCCCCCACAGTCTGGGGCCCGCAGAGGCCCGCGTCCGGGGCCTGCCTACTTGTAGGAGCAGATGGAGAGCATGGCACCAGCAGAGAACACCCAGAAGGCCGGGTACAGGGCTTCCGTGAAGTCCACCTTGAACTTATACATCAGGTGGACCCTGTCGGCGACGGCAAAGAAGAGGACAAAGCCATGGTCACAGTTGAGAAGCACACCGACCCGCGTGGCCTTGGTGGAGGGCAGCGTCTTCTCCACGTTGTTGTGCCACGCAGAGATCTTGGTGTTGAACCACTCCACGCACCACGAGGCGCTGTTGCGGCCGAGCCGGCTCTCGGGGCCCTGGCGTGGCATGCTGCCGTAGCAGACGCCCACCCCACAGAAGTGGCTCTTCTGCAGCTCCACCTCCCAGTAGTGGATCCCTTTCTTGTAGCAGTGCAGGCCCAGCACCTGAGAGCAGTACACGAACCTCTTGGGATGCGGCTGGTAGTTCAGGGGTGAGTCGGCCACAGAGGCGACACTGTAGTTCTCCGACAGCGCCACCTTGTTGTGGGCGGTGTTGTAGTCCAGGCTGAATTTAACGGCATCTAAGAAAGCATTACCCAAGGGATCGATTACAAGGAGCCCAAAGTGCTCTCATGTTTAAACCTTTCCCCCTTGGGACGCCTGGGTGGCTCAGTCGTTAAACCTTTCCCCAACTGGTAGTACTTATTTAGTTTATCCATCCATCTATCCACCCATCCACCCATATATCCATATCTCCATCCATCCATCTATCCATCCATCTACCCATATATCCATATCTCCACCCATCTATCCATCCATCTACCTACCCATCTACCCATATATCCGTATCTCCACCCATCCATCTACCCACCCATC